CCAAAGAAATAGCTTTGTTTTGCTCTAGTGCTGTTCTTTCTCTAGTGGTGAGAGCTGTTGCTCCTACCCAGCATTTGTTCTTCAGATCCAAACCATCCCAGTAGTACACAGATCTAGAGAGGCAGTCAGCAAGGCCCTCATATATAGCTCACAGCTGGTCCATCAAACAAGAACAGAATTTACAAATTTTTGCATGTTTTCATCATCTGTTAGACAGGGGATTATCAGTGGCCTGTCAGTCTGAAACACCAAGGAGCCTATTTTAATTACAGCATGGGTTATAAAACCCTTCAGTTATAGATCATGCATCATTACTAATAATGGTAGTATTGTAAGCATGCTTTTCTCATACAACTTTTTAAATAGATGTGTACCTTGTGGTGAAAGCACTTGATTTGCTCATATAGTGACCACTGCACAATGACAACTGACTGAAAACCATTAACCTGAATTTTCAATTTCATGCTATTTGATGACATTGCAATGCTTGGTCAAATGTGACCCTTTTAAATTTGAAATCTTCTCCACTTTGTCTTTCTGTATTGCATTGTACTGACCAAGTAAGACAGTCTTGTCAACACAAATACAGATCTATGTTCAGTTGATACTGTGATAACTTTTAAACTTTATGTCCACTCACAGTTCTGTACCAGGAGTGTACAAAATCTCTTGAGGGCAGAAACAGTGGAACAGTCTGGTGGTTGGTTTGGTTTCTATTTGTTTGTTTGGGTTGCTTTTTTGTTTGCTTTGAGGTTTTGTTGACTTGGTTAGGTTGGTTTGGTTTGGTTTTTTGTTTGGTTTTTTTTTTGTTTGTTTGTTTGTTTGTTTTTTCTTATTAAGGAAAGAAGCATCATTCTTTCAAGTCTAATTCTAGTTCCTTGGTAACAAGTATCACATGTGTTGAGTTTGATATTCAAGATACATAGTCCTTAAAGAATGACATAAAGTTTTCATCCTGAGTCCATAGGAAAGCTGAAAACTGCTTAAATGTGTCCATGGAGGAGATAAGGTCCTTGGCTCATGCTTTGTTCATCTGTATAAAACTTATTTGCAGCTAAGCTAATAATAATGGTGCATGGCCACCATTAGCTCACACTTCCTATTTCAGATGGCTGTAAAACATCCTGAAGTATCCACTTATTTGCACCTTCATGGCAATGGTAAAAGTTTGCAGCTTCAGTATCTTCCATGGAATAGTTCCTGCCACAGATGATCTCAGGCATTACAACATTTTTGGCTCCAATATTATTGTTAAAGAAAGACAATAAATGATGCAGAGAAAATTACACTTTATGAAATGAGCAGACCAAGTTTTAAAAAAGCAGGGGGAGGGGGATTTCACGGTGCACATGGATTCTTCATGCCTAGGAGTTCTGATCTTGTAAATACAGAAGAAATCAAGCACTTCCCCAAAACCTGAAGAAGAAACATGATCAGATCTACTAAAAAACAAAGTTCCTGGAGTGCTGATCACCCTTGACTGAATGCTGGAATTGCCATATAAGCCGTCACTCATCCTCAAATTCGAATGAGCAAACTGTTAAGAATGTGATTGAGGGGATCATCTTTCAGCATAAAAAGTATTTCACATTGCTTAAACATATGATTTTCCTATTTCTTGGCATTTAATAGATATGATTTATTATGACATTACAATATTTTTTATGATAGCAATACCATTAATCTTAAAATAATGAAAATCTTTAGGGAAGGGTCACTAACATTTTGCTACTTGAAATATGTCAAATTTCCTGGCCAGCTCTCACAGGAAGTGTTGTTTACCTTACTGCACCTTAATAGGCAGTAGATCCCATGCTGTCAGATATGACCTTTCTCTGTTGTTCAAAATTTAGGGGACACCAGTAGTACTTTGAACAGTTGGTGAGCATGGCACAGAGCCCATCATTTGAAGCATGATACTGAAGTTTGTCAGATGCTTTGGAACTCTTCAAAGCAACAGAACTGACTTCTATTATAACAGGTTATTTGTTTTGACTTTCAGATATGTATCAGAAGCTTCTTCTGTCTTAAATATATGCCTTCTGTTTCTGTCCAAGGTCAGGACTTGATCTGTGCTATGGCCTGAATAAAAAACTCTGCCTTGCTTGCCACAGTCAGAGTGCCTGTGTCAGAGTGTCTGGGACCTCCTGCATCTTCAGCTCCAGGAGCATGTCATTCAGATGTCTTAACTTTGCAAAGTTCAGCAGAAGGGACAAACAGTAATATTTGCACCAGAGCTCCTCACATGTTTTGTACTGCAAGCAAATATTTTCCCACTTCTAACAATCCCTGATATATATGTTCCCACAAGGAGGGGAATGTCCAGTTGTGTCCTTCACCCATCAATCATTTTGAGATTATAAACTATTTGAGAGGAACAGGTAGTTAAACAACACTTTAAAACATTTATTCTAAGTCATAACTATTGTGGGTTTATTATGTGTTAATGGAGGAAAGGAGTGGGTTTGAATTCTCCATGGAAAACATGAGAAAATAAAGTGTTTTACCGACATGAACTGTAAACTTTTAAACATATCCCGCACTGTTAATAAGGACAACCTTCCCATGTGTTGAGAACTTCTCAGAACTGAGAAGTTCTGTCCCTTTTCACATATGTAGAATGAAATGTCACAGCTTTAATTCTGTTTGTGCATTGTTTGGGGAGTTGAGTAGATGAGAATGGCTTTACTGAACAGTGTTGAGAATGAATACAAAGTTTGGAAAACAGGACATGGAAATCCTCCTTAATTTTCTAAAATATCTGTGCTCTTCTTCCCATCATGTCCTTCTCTGCAGTGCTATCTTGTCTATTCTGATCTTTCTAGGACCACATTCTTCTTACCTCATCTCCCTAGTGTGTCAATGCTTCTTCTGTGGGATGGACCACCTCTTTGTACTGGCAAAATAAACTGTTTCCCAAGCTTACAATGTCAACAAGAAGGAAAAGAGACTTTCCTAAAACCTGAATACGTTTTCTGAGAAATATTTAAGTGACACACAGAAGGTCATACTTGTTGGACAGCAGTTAGTTCAGGGCTGCAGGTCCAGCAACCTCCAAGGAGTTGGAGGTTATTGCAAAGTCTTAATAGGAGATCAATATTATGGATGTTGCAAAATATGCTAGGAGGAAAGGGAGAGTCTGCTGATGTGCAAGATGAAGAGTAAAGTTAGGTGAGGCATGTGCAAGGATGAGCAAGGATGAAGGGTTAAGTGGAAAGAGTGCAAAGGCCTGTACCAGGGAAACAGAAAAAGTCCCAGAGTGTAGGTGGTGAGGACTGGGGTAAATGAAAAACAAATGAGAAAAGAAGCATGGAAACAGAAACATGTTAGTCAAGCTGTGTGAAAAAAGAAAGGGAAGATGGGTGAGCCAGCACCAGAAGACAACGTGTTGTGAACCTAATGGGCAACAGCAGCAAAGGCATTGGAAGAGGTAGCAGATGAGGCAAGAAGAGTAGGAAAGATGCAAGCAGTGGAACAGGTTGTCAGAAGGTATTCCCCCACTCCTCAAGTGACAGGACAATGGATTACAGTCTTCTGCTAGAATGTGAAATTTTCACAGCACAGGGGCTCAGAGCTGTTCCCTAGACCTGGAGCGGCCAGCCCAGCTGTACCCAGCATGAGGAAAGCAATACCTGTATTCTATATAGGACAACAGGAAAAGTTATTTCTCTTAAGTAATAACAAAATCTGCAGGAGATACAACCTTTAGGGTGAGCTTATTGAGGTGAATTTTCTTTAGCTCTGGTGACCAAACAGGCTGTAATACCTAATCCAATGCCTCAATTTTTCAGAGATATTTGGTGTTGAAGGTGGCTCTGTTGAAGGTGCAGACTACAGGCCTCAGGAAATTCTCTTGGATTCAAGACAATGTGGGGGGTGTGTGTTGGTTGAAAGTAAATTAAAAGGGGAAAAAAAAAAAAAGGGAAAAAAAAGGAGAGGGAAACCCTGCTTATAATCCTATTTACAAAGGGCCCAAGGCAATGGCGTCCAAGATCCAGTGTACCTGGCTTCTGCTCCTGTTAATGCATGGCTCATCGTGATTTAAAAAAGGAGCTGCATCTGAGAAAAAACACAATTTTACAAGGTTTCATTTTTTCTTGCTGGCAATCTGGTCTCAACTGGCAAACCCATTAAGTATCTGTTTAAATGTGAATATGGGATTAATACTACTGATTGTAATGGGGTTAACTATGTATGTATAACACAGTGATGTTTATAGCCTCAACTGAACTATAGGGAATGAGACTCTAAGCTATTTATTGAAAACTCACTTCGGTTGCACATTTATGTACAAAGATTTATGTACAAAGAATTTTCAGAATTGATCACCTAACATGTAGATTTCCCTTGAGAACAGACAATGCTCACTCCTCAGTGACCACACCATTTTCTCATCTTTTCTCCTGCCACAGTGGTAGACAATGTAGGAATATTTGTGTGGTTTTGGTTTTGTTTGGTTGGTTGTTTTTGGGGTTTTTTTGTGGGTTTTTTTTTTTGGTTTTTGTTTTTTTGTTTGTTTGTTTGTTTGTTTTTTCCCGGCCGGTACGTGGGGAGCCCCCCTCACCGACCCGACGGTCGCCTCCGGACCAGAGCTTTCTGCAGCCTCGAGCCGCCGCCCTGAGCTGAGACACGGCCGGGACCACCGCGGGGCCGTTCCGTCCGCCCGGGCAATCCCCTCATCCCGGGGTTCCTCGGCATCCAGCATCTCCGGCTCTCCCCCGCCACCTGCACGGCCCTGCGAGGCGTTTACCCCGCAGGCTGCTGAGGCGGACGGGACGGGGGCAGCCGGCAGCCTACCCCACCTAAGGCTGCCGCGTCGCCGCTGCCCGCACGGGGCCGGTGTCCCCGGGCCGCCCCCGGAGCAGCCCTTGGCGGAGAGGCTTCCCCGGGACGGGGGGGAACCCGACTCCCCTGGCGCGGCCCGTCCCGCCCTCGGGCGCGCTCACTCCCCCGCCCCGTAAGTAGCAGGGCCGCGGCCGTCGGGGCGCAGAGCGGCGGGGATGGGGACCCGCGGCGGGGGACTCTACGTGGGGCGGCGGGCGGCGGCCGTGGGGGCCGCGCTGCTGCTGGCGCTGCTGGCCTCGCTCCTGGCGCTCGCCGCTCTCTACGGGCGCTGCCGGCAGGAGGCGGCGCCGCCGCCGCCCTCGCCCCGCGCCCCCGGCCCCGCCGCCCCTCCGCCGCCCGCTCCTGCTGCCAGCTCCGTTCGCCGCCTGCCCCGCCACCTCCTGCCGCTCCACTACGACTTGGAGCTGTGGCCGCGAGTGCGCCCGGGTCAGGCGGGGCCTTTCGCCTTCACCGGGCAGGTGAACATCACGGTGCGCTGCCTCCAGGACACGGACACGGCGGTGCTGCACAGCGCCGGGCTGCGGAGCCGCGGGGCCGCCGCCGTGCGCGGGCCCCGGTCCGAGCCGGGCGCCGCCGTGGAGGTGGCGGGGCTGCGGCAGGAGGAGGCGGGCGAGGTGGCGGTGCTGGAGCTCCGCGGCCGGCTCCGCGCCGGGCACAGCTACGTGCTGCAGCTGGGCTTCCAGGGCCGGCTGGAGGAGGACCTCGACGGGCTCTTTCTCACCCGCTACACCGACCAGGGGCAGAACAGGTAGGCGGCGGCGGCGGCCGCTGCGGGAACCCCGAGCCCCTGCGCCGACGGCAGCGGGGGTGCTACGGCCGCGGTCGGGGTCGCCCGTGCCGGGAGGCTGCGGGAGCTGGCACCGCGCCGGGCGGAGCTGCTCGCTGTCGGGCGCGGGAGAGGGGACTGACTGCTCCGCGCTGTGTGAGCACCTCCCCGGGAGCGCATCGCGGGCTCCACAGCTTCGGGCTGTGCCCAGGCCGGCTGCTCCGCGCTCCGGAGAGCATCGGCCAGACTGCCCTGGCTCTCCGTCGGCAGGTGACTTGACCTGCAACACGGGCTGGACAACTTCTGGCCTCTCAGTGCCTTTGACTGCAGCGAGGGGGTCAGACGCTATCCGTGCCCAGTGCCTGGGAGATGGAACCCGTCTCAGAATCTTTATCCGGCCCCACACATGTCCGTGTAACACTGACAACTCCCCACCTCCTCAACCTCTGTCTGTGGTGAACCCGGGATTTGGGCAGGAGTTTAGAGACGCTGTCCACATGCAATTTCAGAAGCATGGCGGAGTAGGATGGATGCTTTAAACAGCTGTGCCTTCCTTGTAGGTGCTAATGGCACATGAACTTGTTCAGCTGTTATCAGACAATCCGTGACTTGCATTGTGGGTGCTATCAGGATGCTTTTCTTCTCTTTTGAACTCCAAAGTCAATGCTGGAACAGTGTCCACTTATCAACTAGTCAATCATCTAAATAATTTTCACCCTCAAAACAATCCTTTTCCTTTTCCTTTTCCTTTTCCTTTTCCTTTTCCTTTTCCTTTTCCTTTTCCTTTTCCTTTTCCTTTTCCTTTTCCTTTTCCTTTTCCTT